AGACAGAATCAAAAGGGGCAAGACAAAAGGGGTGAATCCAGGGAACCAGGCGAAGATCAGAAACGGGAAGGCTAAGGCTAAGGCTAATGACTAGGGCTAAGGCTAAGGCTAATGACTAGGGCTAAGGCTAAGGCAAACGACTAGGGCTAAGGCTAAGGCTAATGACTAGGGCTAAGGCTAAGGCTAAGGCAAATGACTAGGGCTCCGTAAGGTAGCTATCTCTAGGAGAGTGATAAACGCTGAAACAATACTCGGCCGAGGGAAGGGATAAGAGTGAGTGTTATATAGTGAGGGAGTGATATGAAACAGCTGGGTGCAATCAGTGTAAACAGGTGTGTGCAATTCGTGCTGAGTGCAATCAGTGTGATGCATGATGGGAAATGTAGTCCGGGGTGATGTGCAACAGTGTGTAGTGCGAGAGTCAATGAATAGGAAAGTTCGTTGACCGGATTCGTGACACTGGCAATGTGTGAAACATTATTTAGGCATAAAACATGAAATGGTTCAGCGGTTTACTGCAGAGCAAGTACTGAATGCAATCAGATATTAGTGTCACCGATGGTGGATAAATCTGAGCGAAATCTGATAAGATGTCTCTTCAGTTTTGATCAAACATCCTTCCAAAACAGTCATTACATTTTCCCAAGACATGTCTGATATAAAAATAAAAACTAGGTTAAAGTTTGACGAGATCGGACATTGTTCCGCCAAACTACAACAAAACAAAAATATAGAATTAACTGAATGTCTACTAATTTTTTTGTAGAAAGAAGGGGAAGCTTTGGTTTAGGTCATCCAAATTGTGAGTATACACGCACAGATGTTCACAATATAGGCATTTGCTTACTTTATGACTTAAAACTATACTTTACAGTCAATTAATCTGCTTGTGAGCTGCAATCGGTTTCATTTGAGTGCACATGATCGTATCCTCTCACCTTTTCAGTTTCCCAGAGAAGGCTGGTGTTGGTTGGAATGACTGGAGCAGGTAAAAGCTCCTCTGGAAACACCATCCTGGGCAGAACTGCCTTCACAGCTGCAGAAAGCGGTTCATCTGTAACCAAAGAGTGTGGCAAAGTGACTGAAAATGTGGCAGGGAGAGAAATTACTCTGGGAGATACACCAGGCATGTTTGACACAGATATCTCAGAGGAAGAGCTTCTGACACAGAAGATCAGTAAGTGTATAAACATGACAGCACCTGGACCTCACGCCATCGTCCTGGTCATTCAGTTCGGCCCATTTACTGAAGAGGAGAAACTCTCCGTGGAGAAGATCAGAGCCATATTCGGAGAAGAAGCAGATAAACACACAATCGTCCTCTTCACTCACGGGGATGAACTGAAACACTCTATAGAGGAGCACATCAGTGAAGCCAGCGAGGACCTGAAAGAAGTCCTGAGTCGCTGTGGGGGAAGATATCACGTCTTCAACAATAAAGTGTAGCGAATCAGCTCATGGGGAAATATGAATAATTAAC